ACAAACAGCGGCTAAAGATTTCTGATAGCGAGTGCTTTTTCTTGATACTCTTGGGCCTTGTCATATCTACCAAGAGATTGGAACAATGCTCCTAGGTTTCCGTAGCTTGTAGCCTCTCCTTCTTTTTCGTCGATTTCTTTTCTGATGGCGAGTGCTTTTTCTTGATACTCTTGGGCCTTGTCATATCTACCAAGAGATTGGAACAATGTTCCTAGGTTTCCGTAGCTTCTTGCCTCTCCTTCTTTTTCGCCCATTTCTTTTCTGATAGCGAGTGCTTTTTCTTCATACTCTTGGGCCTTGTCATATTTATCAAGAGATTGGAACAATGTTCCTAGATTTCCGTAGCTTGTTGCTTCTCCTTTCTTGTCGCCAATTTCTATTCTGATTGCGAGTGCTTTTTCTTGATACTCCTGTGCCTTGTCATATCTACCATGGGATTGGAACAGTGTTCCTAGGTTTCCATAGCTCGCTGCTTCTCCTTTTTTGTCGCCAATTTTTATTGTGATTGCGAGTGCTTTCTCTTGATACTCTTGGGCCTTGTCATATTTTGTAAGCGACCGAAACAATATTCCCAGGTTTCCGTAGGTTATTGCCTCTCCATGTGAGTCCCTATTCGTTTTCATAATGGCCATTGCTGACTTATAAAATCTTACGGCCTCTGCAAACTTATTTTTATCCTGGAGTATCTTAGCTAGTGTTAACTGTAGCCATCCTTTTTCTGGAGGATTATCAGATTCCTGAAATAAGAGCAGTTGTTCCCTGAGGTATTCTTCAGTACTTGTGTTGGCAAATAGTCTGAAGTGGGCCTTTATTGCTGTAGTAAAGACACCTTGGTAAAGTAATTTTGTATCTGGAATGTCCTCTCTCAATGCCCCATTACGTAGCAAAATGAAGCATTCCTGGCACATCTTGATAGCTTGTAGAACACGGCCAGTGTTGAGAAGGAAAATGGCCACAGCTAAACCTATGCTGATAAGTAACGTGGTGGGTACTTGCTCTTTTGTGTTGTCCATCATGGCCTTATTCGCTGTTGGTGTCAGAATTAAAGGAAATTAAACATAGTACATTCAAGAGGAGTGACTTTGACAATACTAACTCAGTGGCGGTTTTACAGTTTGAAATGATGTACACGAGAGGCGAGTAATCGGGCTAATACTGGAGAGGGGGGGAGTGTTCGCAACTAGGCGAGTGCTCATAAATATTTGACTTACGTTTGAGTTTTAAACTTAATTTTAGTGTATTTAATTGACTTTCTATTAATTCTTCGTGGCTTTTACCATTTTAGACAGGAAACATGAAAAATTTAATCGAGAATGTGACTTCTTTTTCCAGTTCCCGGTTTACTACGGATTGGTTGATCAATTGAAATAAATATGTTTACTTTCGAAAAGAAAAAGGAGATTGGCCTTATATTTCATACATCATCATGATTTCACGGCGGCAGCTATGGATGAAAATAGATGAGAAAAGAGCACCTTATTGGTTGGTCGGAGCTCCAAATAATGTAATCTTTATGAATAACAAACAAATCAAGAGT